TTGAAAAAAAAAAAAAAAGAGGGGGCGGAGTTTATGCCTGCTCAGAATTCTACCGGGAGACAGCTAAATGCTGCCGTGATTAAATGCCATATCATGTTCCAAACCACATCAAGGATTATTTCTGAAACAGTATGGAGCTCAAATGCTTTTTCTCTCACGGGTTTACCACAAGGTGAGTTCCTTTTTTATTTCCTGCTTTTTTACACATACTCTCTCCAGTACAGGTTAGCTCTGAGTGTTAGCGATGCTTGCTAATGTAAAAAGACCATATTACGTCCAAAACAGTCGGGCATTGTTTCTAATAGCAATGTTTCTGATAGGGCCGTGGGTCCAGATTTCCGATATTACTTCATATCGGATGAAAATCTGGATCAGTTCCGTTGTACCCCCGTTTTTAGAGATTTGGGTACGGAGGAAAAGAGGGAGGGTTTGTTTTCTGACACTTTGTTGGTTTCCTGACACACCGGGGACACATGTTTATGTATAAAATACATAAAAAAGTGCATTTTTCATGATAGGTCCCCTTTAATGCAAAAGCTTTTACCTGTACCAGTTTGCAGTATTTTAACAGAACATTTTATAGCAAATTCATTCGTCATTTATGGCATACGTTTAGTGATCACACACACATAGCTGTGGGTGAAGCACTGTACACATACTTGGTCAAATTCCTGGTTGGCTCCCAGGTTGAGGTCTTGGACGGAGGCCATGAAGGTTTGAAGCTGACCGATGGTAGGAATAAATGTTTTCATCATGCCGGTTATAACCTCAGCCATCTGGAGCATAACTCCCACCAGGCCTTGCATTTCTTCAGACAACACCATCTGAAAGACAGGGGCCAACATTCAGACATCTTGCTATGGTTTTCATTTCCAAACTGTTATTGCTCTTTTTTCTGTCTTCTCTAGTCTCTAAATCCATCCAGGACTTGATGTATCTTTTCAGTGCTGTTTTAAAATCTATGAGTGAATGAGTTTTAATTAAAAAACATCAAAGAAACACATGAAATAAAGATTAACTTCTCATGAAATATAAAAAAGCTGTAAGGTTCTTACACACATGTTTCTAGGCAACTAGATGTTTTGATGGACAGTTTTGTTGTTGTTGATCAAATAGAAAAAGAAACATCAGGTAGAAATACATGTTTTTAAATTTGAGAGGGAGGCAGAGCTTTGTCTAGTGAACAGGTTTTTTCTTGTACAAAAGCAATCATTTATTTCTGACATATGTCTCAAACAAACACAATGTTTCATCTCACACGTTTTGCTACAGCCCAACAAAAATGATGTCTTTGGCCATCACAAAGAAATCATTATGTTTCTTTTAAATAAATCACATATAGGAGGTGTACCACCTTACTTTTTCTTTGAAAAAAAACTCAATCAGAATTCAGCCTTACTCTGTAGATGAGTTTCTCCATGTTGAGGTGGCGAGCCATCAGCAGTGAGAAGCTGTACCACTGCTCAACAGACAAGGAGCAGAAGGTCTTCAACATCTCCAAATCTGTCACTTTCATTTCCAATGCTTCTGTGGAGCCGCAGTGACGCAGGTTGACCAACCAGGACAGGATCTGTGTAATAGAATTAAGAGGGTATGGAAACAGTACAGGCAACAGGAGAGTGTGTACAGAACTACACAACGGCATGTGTTCTGATTGTGAATTCTCCTCATTGATACTAGTGTTATAACATGTGCGTTGGTTTTTTCCTTCATTTAGTAAAAACAAAATGTTGTACTTTAGGGGACAAGTCGGTCTTGCGGTTCACTAAATGATTGGCAAGAAATGTTTTTGAATCAAGCATCATACAGAGAAAATTATGAATATGTTGAACAGTAAAGCATTTAAGTGTCATAGGAACAGTTTTCTAAGTTAGCAATCATATACATCTGTTTGTTCCAATTCAAGTGGTATTTATGAGTCACATTGGTCTGCTATGAACAAAATGCATACAGGGTGTAATTTACCTTTTGTAGTGTGTAGAATGTGTGTGCTACCACCACATGTTTAGTTTGTATAAATGATTCCCTGACTTTTTTTGCAGCATTTTCTGAGATAATCTAAACAGTTTAAGAAAACAGCCTTTTATTTTGCTAAGATAAATCAGCTTTGGACAAATAGACCATTGACAGTGGCCTTAGGTTTACAATACAGTTTATTTATCTAGCCTGGTATTAAATAACTGGCTTTGAAAAATGCAACTTGTGTGCCATTAGCTGGAGGTTACTGAATTATCCTCTAATGGTAGCAATGTCAAACCAGCCTTAGGCAAAGAATATAGACAAAGGCATGATACAATACTATACAATTGTGTAAGTTCACATAATAAAGGGAAATAAAGCACAGATTTGACGGTATAGGAAAACATCTCTTAAAGAAAATACAATAACCTTGTTCCACACTTTATAGTGTATGTGATGACATGCTAAAGCGGTTCCTGGCTCACCTCTAAATTGTTGTTTGGTAATATTGTTTCCATCAACAGGTGGAGAGCGTCTGGATCGAAATCCATGTGTTTCTGAACATCAACGAGGAAGGCTGTTTCATTCCTCAGCAACTCACCGACTGTCACCACTCCTGGGAAATAGAGTGAAACAAAGAGTAGGTTGAAAGTGCATTTCTTTTTACTATGACATTCACTCAGTCCTTTGGATTTGTTGTTTTAAACCCAGTTAATGTAGTTTCTGTAGAAACAGAAACAGAAGTACTTTTGCTTTCAGTGGCACTTTTCATTTCATTCCTAAAGTTAATGGAACAGCTACATTAGGGTGTTCTGGTCTACCTTGTTTGAATCATTGAAATATGCGGTTTTTAAAAGAGGACCCCATCAGAAGCTGAAAAAGTTCAGCGCTAAATGAGATTAACTGTTATCTTAGCCAGCCAATCCAAATGAAAAACATGGTCACAGTGGAGAAATGTGCTTCTGCAGTAAGTAACTATTGTTAGATAATCCAGTGACAATAAAGGAAGTGGCATCAGACACAAGTGAGTGACAGGTGAGCTGATATGAGCAGTCTGTTGCTATGGGAACAAGGTGTGTGATTTTCAATTTTTTCTAAAGATAGCATGTCAGGCATCACCCTTTTTAATAAAAAGTGACCACAGCCTTAAATTACACTTTTGGACAATTCAAAACAAACTTTTTGGATCACGCTAAACTCTGTCGTGTGTCCTTGTCCCTATTCATATTTACACAGCCAATTCATTATCTACAAAACAACAGAACCGGCAGTGAGAAGTATAATCTGTGTGGTGGAAAAAGCAGCATTAGGGGTGAATTCTGGTAGTTATAGTAGTGTTGAAGGAATCTATAATAACATATTGTGAAATACAGCAACTTCTGTGACATAGGGAAACATCTTACCTGGCGAAGTGATGTTAATGTCTAAAGAGCTCAGGTTGCTGGTGTTAAAGCCTAAGCCTTGACTCAACAGAGAGGACCTGTAAACACACACACACAGACACAAACACATACATGCAAGTTTACCTATTGGCCCCAAATGAAAGCAAGAGTACTGCCTGATTTATTTCCTCTCAAATACAGGAAGGAGAGTTCTGTAAAGTGCAACAGCCCGGCCCATTGTGATATGGTTTCACAAATAAAGACAAGGGATTAAACTAATCTTACTTTTTATCAATTCCTTGATGTGGATGGGATCATGGTTATATTATTTAAATGCCATAGATACCAGACAAATGAGATGGATTAATATTAATGCCATATCTACAGCCTAGACACATCTATAATATAACAGTAAAACATCCCCAAACTACTGTATCTCTGAATTATCTCTTTAACCAAATCACACATCTAGGCTATTTCGTGTGATCTTCTTTTATTAACTGATGTAATTTTCCTTAACATCAATTAACTGAGCTTTTTCCCCTGAAGCCGTTTGAAGCCCTCTTGGGGAAACTGGCCTCCCACTTTGAAAACATCTGATCAAGAGGTTTGCAAGAGCAGCGTTCTCTGTAATCATTGCTGTGAAACACGTTTAAGAATGAAGACAATGTTGTACCAGTTTGAATTGAGGATGTAGGCTTTTGGTTCTCCGATGGCGGTCTGGAAGATTGCATCGCTCAGATAGGATGTGTTCATCATCAGACTCTCAACCAACATCTGCAGGCTCGGTAGAATAGTGTTACACAGCTGGCCAGGCTCAATGGAGAGGGACAGCATCAGCAGACGCACAGACTCTGTTTGCTCCACCGCACACACCTACAATCAGTCAAGTAAGGAACAAGTTGGTTTCTGGCCAAATCTCAGGATCAAACATATCAAACATAGATTTGATGGTTTGCTGCTGTACCGTGGGAACTTAAGACTTCAGGGTTAGCGTTAGAGTCTGTAAAAAGTCTGTCTCACTGTGACTCAAAGAACTAAAATCAAACTTTACAAAGGTTTGATAAAACCTTGATGGTTAATTTCTTTAAAGCTTTACTCGTGATGATTTTGTATTTGAAGCTTTTCCTTTAGAAGTAAGGAAAACATAAAATGCTTGTCAAAGCACACCATGACATAACCACATCTTAGCATGAGCAACCAAATAACACTGCAGGGACACATGATATACATACGAGTGGGTTTAAACACTGACAACGTTTGAGTCAAATAGGTTCTGCAATATCAACATCATCTGGATTCTAAGTACTTCTAATTATAACAGTGCTTCTTCAATCACTTAATGGATCTTTATAGGATTTCTTTAACATTCTGAAGTACTATTTTCCCTTTTTCAATTAATGTTGAATGTGTGCAAGTGGCCGGGTTAATGCAGAGACCTTGGATCCCAGGTGGCTGAGTTGCTCGGTGAATCGTGGGTCCGTCAGGCTGATCTGGAAGAGTTCGATGGTTGTTTGGATGGTCTCTTGCATGAGCATCAGGTTCTCTGTGAAGGGAGGCGGAGATTAAAGGAGAGGGGGGGAGGGAGGTTATTAGAGTTGGACAGGAAAATGGGACAGGAAAGGGAAAGGAGGGCAATAAGGTGACAGAATAACATGACATCCCACTGGTATTCATTACAACTCGCACCATTACGGGGCAGCGTCTTCAGCCAGCGAGCGGCAAATGATGTGTTTTAAGTGAAGCTCTGTGCTGGACTGATGAGGCCAGGAGGGTCCGCATTACGGGATGCTGTCGTGAATTAAAACACATCTGACAAACCCGAAGAAAGACACCACCTCGGGCAGCAAGATGTGATGACAGAATTTATAATCAGGCCAAAATTAGACAATGGTGATGTTTAATCTCAGGGTGCTCAACACCTAGAGGCCCCTGCAATCACAACAGTGCACCCTGGATGTGTGTGTAAAGAATTGGAGCTGGGTTGTGAAGAAGAGAAGAGGTTGCATCTGCATACAAAGTAATTATATGCACTGAAAATATTATCACACAAGCACAGATGCCAATTAAAAGGAGGTCATAGATGTCCACTTGTGTGAGTGCGAGGGGAGACGTTTAGCGAGGGCGGACAGGATAAGTGATTGAATTCTACTTTGCTAATGAGATTTAAAAAGGTGCTGAGTGGCTTTCAGCTGGAGAAGGGCCATATGGCCTTGGGCTCTTTGGGAGCTCAAGCTAAGCCGATGTGAAGCCTTATTCCTCATATCTCTGGAATGAGTTATGGCGTACTATAATCATGTATACAATAACAACAGCATTAACAAATCGTTTGATGGTCTTCCCGTGGTTTCGTAATAGCTATGAAGGTCAGGGTGGCTGTGAAGGTCAGGGTGGCACTCTTCCATGCTGCGTTACTTTTTTTAATGGCCTAAGCTGCTTATAATGCACATACTGACACAGCAGGTATGTAAACACAAGCTGCAGCATCAGTGTGAGCTCTACATTACACCATTAATTAAGCATGAGTGGGAGGGAATTCACTGAGGAGTCGGTAGGTAAAGTTAATTTGGAGAAACTAAAAGGATAAAGCATTACCCATTAGGGGATTCTCAATTTAACTAATGAGTGGCCATTTCTCATCATAAAGCTGCATCTAGTCAAACAATCCTCTAACTGTCCAGAATGAGCCAGAGAGAAAGTAGATCCAAACCGATGAGTTACCTTGAGATTCACCAGCAAGCACTCTGGTGATATCTTTAAGCATCGCGGAGAATGGAAAGCCATCAGGAAGCATTGCAGCAGCATTTGACAGAAGATCCATTGATGACCTGGGGAAGATTAAACACAAATACATTTGTCATCTTGCAAACACAAGTACAAATACTTTACATTACTGTACTTAAGTACATTTTTCTGGTATAAGGACTTTACTCCACTGCTTATTTTTCGGACAACTTTTTACTTTTACTTCTTACATTTTTAACACAAATACCTGTACTTTCTACTTCTTACATTTTCAAGACAGGCTCGTTACTTTAGTTTTATTCTAGCATTTGGTGGCGTGATCATTATTATTTAGAGTCATTGTGTGCGGATACACGGATCGTGTTCAAATCAATAGGCACACAATGACTCTAAATAATAATGATCACGCCACCAAATGCTAGAATAAAACTAAAGTAACGAGCCTGTCTTGAAAATGTAAGAAGTAGAAAGTACAGNACTCTCCACCTATCAGGGGAATGAGAGACCGCTCGAAAGCGCTGGAGACGCTGTAGTACATATGCCAGGCCTATAAGTGGCGCTGTAGTCGCTTTCGAGCGGTCTCTCATTCCCCTGATAGGTGGAGAGTNCTGTACTTTNACCTACTTTAACGAACACACAATGTGTTTTACCGTCCGTTTTGGAAAATTACCACAAGGCATCAAATTGGCGCTGTACCTTAATAATATAAAGGCTTGTATTTGCGTGCATTTCCTGTTCGGAAAGTGGCAATGTACTGAGAGTGGAGGTGTCCTGAGATTAGCGCCTGCAGGCAGGCTCCATGGACCTGTCAGCTCCGGACTGCGCAAAATGCGTACATGAAGCACTACGTCATGAACGCAAGAAATCTACCCTCGTGGGGGCGCGCTCATGTGATTGGCTTAGAATTGAGGAGACATCTGATTGGCTATAGATAGAAAAAATTACAAGTACGAATTGGCTGACCGTCAGGGGAGTCTCAAAAAACCCACACACGAATGCACAGCGATCCATGCACAGAAAGCGGTTTGTGTTTGTAGGTGTAGCGGTTTTAAACGGAAAACAAATATGTGAGGATCAAAAATACATATGTAAAACTTTTTTCTGTATTTGGATTTTATTTACATGTATATGAAACGGAACACATTTGTGTGTGCATTGAAAAACACAAGTGTGGATCCTTCTGTGTGCATGTGTGTATTATGAGACTGTTCTGAGCCCATACCAGTGTGTTCAGGCATTAACATATTTAAAAGGTGGAATAAAGTATAAACATAAACCAATAAACGGCTAAATATAAACATATATATATACATATCTATTTGCAATTTGTTCATCTTCTTATGGTCCCAAAAGATTGTTTCATTATCAGTTTTGGCCCATGCCACCATGTATGGCCAAAAGTGCATCAGGTCAATAGGCTTGACCACAGTTTTTAGTTTTATGACTCGGCTCTTTTACTTGTTTTCTACAGCTGCATACTCTGTTTTCTGTTCCAGGAGAGTCTGATAGATGCCAGTGAAGACAGTCAGCTGGAGGCAGCGATCCGAGCCTCCCTACAGGAGACGCACTACGAGTCCGCGGATGCCACGGAAGCCCCTGATTCCCCCAGATCCGAGGAGGAATCGGACGCAGAGCCTTTCTCTGACAGCGAGGGTCCCATCTCTGTCGACGGTTCAGACAGCGAACTGCCAGCGCCCCATGAAGAAAAAAGTTTTACCAGCAAACACGCCTCGCTTCCTCCGGCCTCTGCGGCCCAGCAACGTCTACATCCCGATAGTTCCACCTCTTCCCATAGAAAGTCTACAAACAAAGAAAACAACCACAATCACAAGAAGGAGGAGAGTAAAAAGAATCACCTGGAGCCTTCAGCTCCTCGTCATCCTCAGCCTGACGCAGACTCTGGAGGAAACCACTGTTCCCCGGCCGCAGAGAGCGCTGGACCTTCCAAAAGCAACCCCACCGAAACCTGTGACGTGGACTGTCCTGACGACAATGGTAAGACAACATGTTGAAAACATCAAACTGTTCTTATAACAGTGAAAGAGTGAGGATGTTTGAAAGATATTAACCACCCTGTGTTTTTCTTTCACGTAGGTCCCAAAGCCAGGTTGATGCTCCGCTACCCGGATGGACAGAGGGAGCAAATTTCCTTGTCTTCTAAAGCAAAACTTTTGGTAAGAACAGAACATAATAACACTATTTTAAAGAAATCCTTTTTTGGAAATACACTTTTTTACTTGCAATCTAGAATTGTTGCAATATCAAGTCTGTACACCAAGAATGCTGTGAGCCAAGAGGCGAAAACCTATATATGGAGGGGAAGAGAAGGTTAAAATATGTGCTTATTAGCACATTATATTGCATCTGTTAAATATGTCTATTACGTGTGAATTATTGTTAAGTGGTGGTAAGTTACATTTGTTAAATTATTTGTATTACTATTTTTGGCTTTAAGCCTGTATAGAGTGTTGCAGTGACGCGTCCTAAAACCCGGAAGTAAGTTAGCATTTTAGCACTTCCAGTTCCTTCGACAAAAAAGCAATGCAATTTCTCCATAGGATTTTGGAAAACAGCTGTAAATAAGGTCTGTGGTTGACACACATTTAAGAGACGGATCACCTTTTGTTCTACGACATTAAATACATCAGCAGTGACCCCACTGGGGATTTTTGAAGAGTTCACGTGTCTGAAAAATGATGGTTGTTAACAAGTGGCTGAATAGGACTACAGAAGTTGTCGAGGCCGTTTTACGTCATTACACCGAACACGTAAACACTCCCGCTAAGTTTTGTTTTTCCCCGTGTTCTGCTTGAAAGTGAGTACTTGCCTCCTGCAAACTGGTAAAACAAACGCTTCAACTTGTACAATTTTGAATCTGTAGTTTTGAATATGGATCTTAAGTTGGCGTGACGTTGAAGCAGCGACCCTGCTGTAGTTCGTTTATAGCATAACCTTAGCATTTTGCTTCTGGCGACTAGATTTATGATTAGAAAATTATAAAAGTAGGGTAGACATGTGGAGATTATCCGGCTGAACAAAACGTGATCTGTACCTTCAATGTGTCTCAACCACAGACCTTATTTCGAGCTATTTTCCAAAATCCTATGGAGAAATTGCATTGCGTTTTTGTCGAAGGAACCGGAAGGAATTTACTTCCGGGTTTTAGGACTCGTCAATGTGGCACTCTATAAGAGCTAGTTCTAATTTCCCATGTTCTCATGCTAAGCTAACCGGCTTCTGTGTTCAACTTCATATTTACTTTACTGATGTGAGATGGCCATCTTTCTTGTCATCTAATTCTTGGCAAGAAAGTAAATAAGTGCATTTCCAAACATTTCAAATTATTGCTTTAAAATGCCCATTCAACCAAAATAGTCGCTGGTCGTCACTTGTACTCGAACAATAACAAAAAAGTGGTTTAGTTTGTATTTATTATGGCATTTCGATTAATTTTCTCGACAACAGAGAGCGGGTTGTTCCATGTTGAGCTACTGTCAATCTGAATTTTGGCTGCGGGGCATTATTAGCATTATTGGCTACTGTAAAACCAGAGATTAATATCCGAGAAGTCCCTTCTTCGCTTTCTGTTTTTACAGGAAACTAATTAAGTAACTTTAAGTCAAATAAATGTGAGCTGTTCATCTATGCCCAGTGACCAGTGAATATTAAACATTTGTACTGACTCTTACTTTCCTCTTCCTCAAGGCGCTGGTAAGACACGTCCAGTCCAAAGGTTACCCTAATGAACGCTTCGAGCTCGTTACCAACTTTCCCAGAAGGAAGCTCGCCCACTTGGACTATGACATCACGCTGCAGGAGGCGGGGCTTTGTCCACAGGAGACTGTATTTGTTCAAGAGAGGAACTAGCCTTTGTCAGACACACACTCACTTTTTGCTTGTCTGTATCTCTCTGATAGACCTCACCCTTTCACCAATGACCTGGGACATTGACACCGGCCTATATCCAATAACCTTCAGTTCTCCTGGAATTAGGCCCTCTTTTTGCCAAGACAACTGAGTGGGCGGACAACTTTCCCTGCCACTCTAGTCTGAATACTGACGTCTCTACTGAAAGCCTATTCCCTTAGTAGTCATCTACAGTTGGCCAGTAAGGTGTCACAGATGCCGGCACTCATTTTTTTTATGTGATTTATTCTTTTCTGATGCAGGCTTCATTTTGTTCTGAACATTGAGGCACATCAGGATAGAATATATATACAATAGCTCATATTTAAATAAAAAAAGCCTACTAGCGGATCACTGATTGATGATGACACACCACAGATTTGTACAAAAAGACTTTTACCTCCCAGAAAGGATGTTAAATGTCAGAGTTTATTTTCTTGCTCATCTTGTTATTGTCTGTACCGGGGACAGGTAAAGGAAGGCTCATTCTCGACTATTTGGACCTACATTTTGGTCAATGTTTGAATTATTGTAATTATTTGAAAGGCACTAAAAGAAAAGGTCCATAAATCATAATTCAAGAAAAGATTTCGGACATATTCGACACACTTGTGTAGATCTGAGGATTTGGGTTGATCTGCTGATTTTTACTCAAGTTTCTATCGGTTAATTAGAGACTATTCGATTTTTTTGGTTTCAACTTTTGATACAGAAGGGAATGAATGAAGGGTGGTACATCTCATCAGTCGGACCTACAGTGTACAGAGATGGCTTAGAGAGACTGATATTTAGCTGTAGTCATTGTTTCCTTTCTTTTTTATATGCTGCCAAGAAAATATGCTGATGTTGAAATATAACCACCAAATCAAAGGGAGATTCTGCTTGGTCTTTTGTCACGTTTTGTATCCATTTTTATTTTTATCTTGATCTGATGAGAAAAATAGGCATTGGTTACAAATATAGGAACAAAACTGGAAAGCAGCAACTCTTAAGAAACAACTGCAACAACTTATAAAGCCAATTTTAAAAAGCCTTTCAGTGTACCTAGCTTACCCTAGTTTCCCTCTGACTTGATTTATTAAATGATATTAGTAAGGCACATTTAACTACTTTACATTAAATAATGTATTCAAGACTGACTATGTTTATAAAT